TATGTTATATATTGAATTTAGTATAATAATAATAATTATTATTTTTTGTTTTTTTTTATTGATATTGAAATTTAGACAAATAAATTTCCGCTTCGACAACACGGGCCACTAGCATTTAGTAGGTATAATAAATTATATTATACTACAATAATTGTTACAAAATGTAAAATTCTGAAACATAAATAATATATTAATAAAATGTTTAAAATGATTAAAATGTGCCCTCTCTCTATTTTACCCAACTAATAATAATATAGACATATCCGATCCTCTAAATTTAAATTAATTAATATGTCACAAACATTTAAATTCGCACACTCAATATTTAAAAAAATAATCATATTTTTAATAATTAACAGGGAATAAGGTGACTTTAGTTTTAGGTTACCTTTAGGTTCATATAAATACTATGCAACTGGTGGTCGTTTTTTATTGTGACATACGTAGTAACAATAATTTATTACTAACATGTATGTTTGATGGAATGTTAAAACCAAATTAAGTACAAAAATTAAAAAAAGACTTACATACAAACACCACCAGGTGGCATTGATTATTKCTAAAATAATGTTTGGTGAAAAAATTATAGATACCGGGCACCCTCAAGTGATAAAATATTATATGGTATTATATTATACTTAATTATTTTATTATATACGAGTAATAAATTGATTTAAATCTAATAAAAATATAACATATGGTTTTACACAATTCAGTCAAATCTCATTCATTCTAGCGTAACCAGTTTTCAATAAATTCAAGCATAATAATTTGGGATTAGACATCTTGAATTGTTATATTTTCCTGTTCTAGTCGTTTCTTAAATATTCTATGTAATATATAAATTGAATTGCTACATGCTGAAATAATTGTATACAGCAAAAATACTGCATATTTTTGTCTAATTAGTTTTTAAAAAAGAAATATAATTCAACTTGTTTAATATTTTTATGTTTTAACAAAAATTATCATAATATTGTGTCATATTTGTATGCATTACTCCCGTGTTTTCCTCTAATTGTGAATTATTTTCTAGTAATTTATTGTATTGCATACTCACGTAGATATTTCAAACAATTTACTAATTAGTCTAGAGCTCTAGTACCTGGATTTTAATTAATTAATCTCCAATAATAACAAATATTTTAGTTTTATTTTGGTAAATTATACATATTTGTTTATAATGTATGATTAAATAAATAATTTTTTTATATATATTTAGAACATTTTTAGGTAAATATTATTACATATTTTAGATGTTTTTAGTGTCTATGTCTTTAAATCTCACCAGATAACTTATGCAGGCTTAAATATTTAAAAAAACACTTCTTGCACGTGATAAAATAACCAATTTATTTTAAGCCATAAATAAAATTGGTCCTAGGTTAAGCGTATAGATGTTTAAATTTAGTAATAACTATAAATCATTTCATTTGAAAAATGTTCAATTAAATCTAATTAGTATAATTATTATGTTTATATTTTATAATTTATCTATGACATTATTTTGCCAATTTTGAGTTACATTTTAATTCTAAGCTAACTCAGGTTATATATTTTACTTTTGATTCACATACTAGATTTGTTACCTATGAAAAAAATCACACATTAYGAAAATGTAAAACGATATTATATTTATCAGTTAACTAATAATTTAACAGGATGATACATTTTTTTTGCTCCTTATTAAATGTGTATAAGTACTCCCTCYAATTCAAAATTGTRTACACTTCAACAATATTTTACCAATAMATAATGTTTATTATTGCTTGCTTTAATATTTCGAACAGTCAAACATTTGAAATTTGACTGTTAGTTCACTAACCGAMAAGATAGTATTACGTYAATACCATTCTACTGCGTGGAGAACAAATAATGCAATACAAAAGCCAAACAACAATAAATAATAAAATATCTACTTAAAATAATTAAATTATCATTAATTTGTATTATTCCATTTATAAAATGGTCATTATTTGATATTTGTCGTATCATTTAATTTATTCCATGAATAATAAATAATAATAAAGGTTTTATTTTGGTTTCTATTTCATCTAAAATAAAACAAAACAGCACAATTCTTTAGTATAATAACAATAAGTGATTTGATGGCCAGGAATAATAATTAGACATTATGTACTTAATTTTTCATCTAGAGTTCTAAACATTCAATTAATTACATTTTTTTAATCACCAATAATTTTATTACATTTATGGATAAAAGCCAAAGAACTAGAAATTATAAAATGTYCTAGGAAATTGAATAATTTATGTAGCTTATTTATAATAYTATAATATTAAYATTTTTTACAATATACATTATATATAATATCATTGATTATAAATACTAGTATTTATAATCAATGATAATATATAASAAATACACACTGGTGGTATTGACTCCTGGCATATTACTTAAATATTGAGCATATATTTTTTTTATGAAGTTAATAATAATTAATTATATTAAAAATTAAATTAATAAATATTATGT